CTCAGCTGGGGGGCACTGGGAGGGAGGGGAGAGGGCTTGGAGGACATCGGGAGGGATATGGATGGCAGTGGGAGGGACTGGGAAGGCAGTGGGAGGGACTGGGAATAGAGTGGGGTGGAAGGGGCTGGGCTGGGGGGGCACTGGGGAGAGAGTTGGGAGATGTGGGAGTGAAGTGAGAACGACTGGGAATGGACTGAGAGGGTCTGGGAGTGGAGTGAAAGGGACTGGGAGTGACTGGTGTGACCTGGGAAGGAAGCGCTCGGGCCTGGGAGGCTGAGTGGTGGTAAGTGTTTGCTTTGGGTCTGCCTGGCAACTGGAGCGTCATCAGAGAGACGCGCTGGGATTGGCTGAGGGGCGGGAGCTCGGTGGCCCCAGCGGGGTGGAGACGCGGGGGGCACTGGGATGGACTGGGATGGACTGGGATGGACTTGGGGGCACTGGGAGTGACTTGGATGGACTGTGGGGAACTGGGTGAGACTGGGGTGGACTGGAGGCTCTAGGAGGGGTTCAAAGGCCACGGGGACGGGCACAGGGAGGGCTGAGGGGTCTGGGGTGATTCCCAGAGAGGGTTTGAGGGGCTCCAGGGTCATTCCCGGGGCAGGGGCCAAGGGGACCCACTCTGCCCCACACTCACCTCTGCGGTTCACCAGGAACGGGGTGACACCGTCGTAGAAGACCCGGCAGAGGTCCACCTGAGCCCGCATGCGCTCCATGAATTGTCGGAGGCTGTTCCAGTACTTGGCCTGGATCTCCCCATACGGGGTGTCCCCCACATAGACCCCCAGATCGCTGTCGAAGTGCACGATCTGCTCCCGGTTGATGGTGATCCTCGCCACGAACCTCACCCGCTCGGTGCCATTGATGAAGTGACACTCGCACTTTCCCATCCACTGGAACACCCCTGTGTGTGCAGGACACGGGTCAGGGGGTGCCCCGTCCCCCCCCCCATCATCCCCCAGCCCCCCACAGCAGGCTGGGAGCTCAGGAGGCCACCCCGGAACCCCCTTTCCTATCCCCCTCTGCTCCACGGACGCCCCAGCACCGGCTCTTGGGTGGGGAGGAACCCCCCCATCAGCCCCCCGGGGATGGACAGGGGGGTTGGGGACCCTCCCACTGAGGATCCGACCCCCCCCAGAGCCCCGGGAAACCGCTCCAGGGCTCAAGTGATGGGGAAAACCGAGGGACCCTCATGGCAGCCTCCCACTCCTCCATTTCACCCTCTCCCACCCCTTTCCCACCGGCCCCACAATCCTCAGACCCTCCCGCCCTCACTTTGGGGCTCCCACCTCCGTCCCACTCAATCCGGGACTTCCGACCACCCTCGCACTCACTTTTGGGGCTCCCACCCCCTCTTTTCTCCCCTCTTGCCCCCCCTTGCCCACCCCACCCC